GTTAAAATCATGACCCCCAAGGGTAGGGTTGGGCCACTATAGGGAATCTAAATTTTACATTAAAATATACAGTATAATTTGTCCAAACCGGCTACCGTCGGTTCCATAAAATGCATCCTATGAAAGTGTAGATTCTAAGTTGTTAAAATCATGATCCCCAGGGGTAGGGTTGGGCCACTATAGGGAATCTAAATTTTACATTAAGGTAGGTCGCAGGGTTTGCTTTTGTCATCAATTCTGGTACACAATTTCAACGAATCGAGCGGTTGTTTTGTGCACATTTGATTATGACGTCAGTTACGTCACAAAGGCAACGTAACGTTGTTTCCCGTTTAATTCTCTGCAAATGACTTCAAGTCTGTACGAATCAAGTAGATTAATACAAAGTGCATTCTATTGTATGTAAACCTCGTACATGTTTTATAATTAAATTTCAGTCTGAATTCTGATGTTATTATATATAATATATCGTAGGACTAATTGAATACAATACCAAATGAAAGGAATAATTTATACTGTAAGTATAACTAAACTGGTAAAAGTCAATCAGAATAAATCAGCATAAAAGTTATGGTATGCAGAAAGAAAGTTATCAAGAATAAAAATTGCTTAGTGGAAAACTTGAGGGGTTGTATGTTGTATGCGCACTTTATTTGAAACTCGGGGGAACATGTGTACTACATGTATATTGCATCATGACTGCCAATCAAATCCGAGGCGAAAATTTGCGTATACTTTTCAGGATCACTCAAACGGGTTAAATTTAATTACATGTATTTTCCTTTTTTTTTCTAAATTATCATCATCATCATTATCATAATTGTTTGGTGGTTATGTATTTAAATCTGGTGTATTCGTCTTGTTTTGCTGGCTAATAAATTGTGAAATGCATTTAAAAATTAAATTTATACAAACAAGCGGACTGTAAGACCTATAAGACACTGTGAATAATTTTACACGTTTCATTTTTTTTTTTCCATACATTTTTTTATAACAAAAAGCTCAGTGTAAAAGCTAAATGCAAGTGTTATACATTTTGCGTATTGAAATTTGATTCAGAGAATTCGAAATTAACAATTTGTAAATGCTTGAGATTTAGGGCCATGTACTATAGCTTGCGACTAATATAGAAAGAACATTGCAGGTCCCCCCCCCCCTTATTTCCTCAGTATTGGGATGTTTTTCTTCCCGTTTTCAAAAAAAGTAATCAAATTTTTGTGTTATGCCTGAAATCCTATTGACCATGAATTTCCTAAAAATACTGGTACTAATACTTTATCATGCGCGTTGTTGTCACTGTATTTTAATTCTCATGCACGAGGAATGTTTATAATGTCAATTCTGATTTAATGATCATGAATTTCACAATACAAGTGAATACAAGTTGCTGGTCATCCTAATATGTCTCCGCAATAAATTAAATGATGAATAAAATTAAATTTTGTATCTATGTCACCTTTTAAATCTTGCATATTCCAAAGGTCAAGATATTTATACTCGTACTGTAAACGTGACTACGTTCAACAAATGACGTTGTAGGTCTAAATAACGCCATAAACGCAACATTTTAGCAGTATAAAAGAAAACTTTGAAATTATTTAGCAAAAAATCTAGCGAGAAGACATATTGATTTTTTTATATTAATAGTTTTGATTTTACCTCATCTTGACATTTTGAAATTCCTGACTAATTCATCTACGTCTTTAAAAAATTATCCAACCTTTTTAAAAGAAACTATTTTAATAAAATTGGCTTAAAACGTCATTTTTCCATACATTTCAATAGTAAAGCGTAACAAAAATACTAACAACAATACTGCATTTAAAGTAATATAGCATTAAAACTACGTAGGCAAATTAAATAAAAATTGCAGATAGTATGCTGTGAATTCTAAGGAACATTATATCAAATTTTCAGGATATGTTTTCTCATAAGAATTTTTATGCAGTAAACCCGCGACCTACCTTAAAATATACAGTATAATTTGTCCAAACCAGCTACTGCCAGTTCCATAAAATTTGGCTGGATTAGACAGAATCCGGAGTGCAGGGAAAAAAAATTAATGATAAAGTAAATCAATATTTTGGAGTCTAGAATTACAAAAGTGTATTGCTTGATTTTCTGTGATATTTTTTACTTTTCCATTCACAAAGTTTGAGATTCAGCGTGATCGTGAAATGTTACCAGAATCAAAATCTCCAGACAAGTATATTATACTATTTATCAAGCGGCCTGCATTTTCCATATCAAAGAGTGCATTCAACATAACCATAAAGACAATAATTTACAATTTAATTGTAATACAATAATAGGAATTAATAAATCAAAGTTTTACATTTGACTATGTAGGAAAAATCTTCTTCTCAAGAACTACTGGGCCAGAAAAGCTGAAACTTATGTGGAAGCATCTTGGGGTAGTATAGATTCTAAATTGTATAAACCATGACCCCTGGGGGTAGGGTGGGGCTGCAATAAGGAATCCAATTTTACATTGAATTAAGAAATAAGGTATCATTTTTAAACATCTATCGGGCTATAAATACGGGTTGGTCATGAGATTAAATTCCATAGGGCTTTATGATGAATTTAATCTCGTACCAACCCGTATTTATATTTGTGACTTATTCATACTATATATTTGCCTGATTGTGACTTTTAATGTGTTAATGCATTATTTTTCAAACCCTATGGCATGTGTGTATTCCACTGAACGTGCATCGACCCTTTGTGATGTCACTGAGAAATTACGTCAAACATTTATCCATACAAACATCTATGAGCTCTTGAACCCATACCGGTATTTATACAGTTATAGATACGTATTGCTATCAGTAGTGTTATATAAAGTAAAACATTTGCAAATGTAAATATATACTGTAGACATACTTTTTTCCACGGGGTCATAATTCCGTGGAATCTTAATAATCTGTTTAATCCGCGGGTAGAAAATTATGCAGATTATCTAGATTTTCACTATATGCCTTTCATTTATATTAAGTACGCTTTGACAAATTTCGCAGAAAATTTGTGACCACGGACATAGTGTAAATTAATACCATGCGGAAAAAAGTACTTCCACAGTATGTAGGAAAAATCTTTTAAAATGTTCAATCTCCAGAGTCACTGGGCCAAAAAAGCTGAAACTTGTGTGGAAGCATCCTGGTGTAGTGAGATTCTAAATTGTCTAAATCAATTAAGACCCCTTGGGGTAGGGTGGAGTCTCAATAGGTATTACAAAGGGGGAGGGCATCTGGGAAAGAGCAATGACCAAATTTCTCAGGTGAGGGATGGTCCAAGGGCTCTTGTTCTTCTGTACACTTTTCAAATTTTCAACTTAGCCATATTTATATGGCAGTATCTTCAGGTAGTGAAGATTCAAATTATGAACCCCATGGGAAGAGAAGGGTTGGATCACTTTAATTTATGTTTCAACTCTCCAATACATGTACTAAGGTCACCTATTGCATGTTTTCGTCCGTCATTGTGTGTCGTCCATCATGTGTTAACATTTTCAGCTTCTTCTCTGCAGTTGTCTTAAAATCTGTCCAATTTTTGCACAAAGCAGCTATGGGTGATGGGGAACAAAATTTGTGAATTTCATGGTCCTTGCCGGCATGGGGTATGAGGGATGGGGTCAAAATTACTAAAATTTATGCAATCTTTCAATTTTAAAAAATCTTTTTCTTTACTCCTGGACATCATGTAGTCAAACTGTTGGCATGATTGTAATCAGCATTGATTCCTCTACCAAGATTGTGAAATTCATAGCCCCCAGGATCCAGGGTTCTAGTAGTAGTGTAGGGCTAAAGAGATTATATAGTTTAAATGCATTATTTATTTGAAAATCTTCTTGGTATTAAATAGACTAACCAAATACAAAGTTATGTTGAATAAAACTGCCTCTTCCAAAGTTGTGAATTTCATGGCCCAAGGGTCAGGAGCCTTGGTGTTAGGGCAGGGCCCTATTGATTATAAAGTGAAAATGCATAAATTCTTTGAAAATCTTCTTCTCTGCTCCTACGTATTAGATAAACTAAACAAGTACAAAGTTATGATGAGCAAGAGTGTCTCTTCCAAAACTGTGGATTTCATTTTCCCTGGGTCGGGAGTTCTAGTGTTAGGGGGAGGCTCTTATGAATATATATTGAAAATGCATGAATTCTTTGAAAATCTTTTCTCTGCTACTGGGTATTACACAAACTAACTAAGTACATATTTATAATGAGCAAGAATGCCTCTTCCAAAGTTGTTATTTTATGGCCCCTGTGTCAAGAAGAATGATATGGAGATAACAAGCAGTATTCAATATCAAAGTCCCTAAAAACAATACAAAATGAGAGCAGAGCAAACACGGACCTCCGAAACATCAGAGGTGGAATCAGGTGCCATGGAGGAGTCAGCATCCCCTGCCGTCCGGTCACACCCGCCGCATGATCCTTGTCATGATCAGTAAATAACGGAAAAATCCGTCATCAATGCAGTGTATTCAGTGTATGGACTAACATTTAGTATGAAAAACGTCAGTCAGCATTTGACTCAATGATGAATTGTATTTGCTGACAAGGTCATTGTATTGACCATAGAACTTACGACATGACGACTTTAAACGAGACTGCTGATATTCTTGTTTCATCAACTTGCTTGTCAATAATTTACCTCGTTTTAGAAATTGCTCATATGTAGAGCATGCTCTTGTGTATCAAATCAACTGAGATATATATACTCCATATGCATGTGATGAAGGTATATTGCTACATAAGTAAGGGAAGTTTATGATAGAAAAGTTATAAAGTCATCACGTTTATCATATAGGATTCTGGTCTTTGGGCGGGACTCTATTGATTATATATTGAAAATATATTTATTCTTCAAAAATCTTCTTCTCTTCTCCTGGGTATTGAATAAACTTGCCAAGTACATGGTTATGTTGAATAAGACTGCATTCCTCTTCCAAAAATGTGAAATCCATGGCCCCAGGGTCAGGGTTTCTGGTGTTAGTGTCTATATATTGATTATGTATAGTGAAAAGGCATAAATTCTTTAAAAATCTTCTCCTCTGCTTCTGGATATTAAACCATTGAAGTATGTTGTACATAGTTATGATGAGGAAGGATGCTTTTGAATTTCATGGCCCCTGGGTCAGGAGTTCTGGTGTTAGGGTGGGCTCTAATGATTATATAGTGAACATTTATGCATAAATTCTTTGAAAATCTTTTCCTTTGCTCCTGGGCATTATGCCAATGATCTAAGTACATATCTACGATGAAGGCAGGTGTCTCCTCCAAAAAGGTTTATTTCAGGGCCCCTGGGCAAGGGGTACGGTGAGGGAGGGGGTACTTAGTCTGAAAAAAAATGAATGCTTTGAAAACTGCTCTTTGGTATTACCGGGTAGTCAACTATTCATGATGAAATAGAATTCATGTTAAAAGTCCTTTCCAAAATTTTGAAATATGTTGTCCCAGGGTTAGTGGTTTTTGTTGGATGGTGTGCACCAAAGTAAGAATGCTTAGTGCATAATTATGATAAACGATGGTGCCTCTTTCAAAACTGCGATTTCATGGCTTTAGATTTAAAACAGGAACCAAATTCATTTGCTGGAAAGTTGTAACATGAAACTCAGGTGACCTACAAGGCCTGTGGGTCTCTTGTTAAACATCTGCTGGGCTATTTGGTGAAGTGTTCTGGTCCTGGTCAGGGCTCTATAAATTTGTATTTTACTGAGAGAAGTTATCCCCTTTTGCAATTCACTTTTGATAATTTATCACTGTTAATAATGTACTTTGAAAAGTTAATAGAATAAGAAAATTAAGCAAGAAATTTTATTGCATGATACAAAAAATACTTTTGTAGTCATGTATACTTGTAAATAATAGATAAATGAAAGTGAGACAAAAATAACTTTAAAAATGTTCTTCAGAGACCAAGAGAGACCAATGTAAGAAATCACATGTAAGGGGGTTAATTAGTACAGAATGACTAATAATTTAGATTAGCAAATAATCATGATGGTTTTAATTTCGCCATGTTCGGTATTAAATTCATCCTTTTTCTTTGAAATTAGTCCCATCATGAATGGTATTATCAGTTTCTAAAAACGTTTAAATGCTTATACAGTGTACAAAATTTGAATTAATTTCTTGCATTGTGAAATTAAAACTATCCTAATTGGTACTTTTAGAGATATCGTGAAATTTAAACACTAGGGGTGGGACGATATACCGATACACCGATACATACCAATATTTTCCTCTAAGATAGATCCTCTAAGTTGTTTTATTATACCTATAGATGACCTTAACTCTTTCAACACTGAGGAACTTTTATCAACCAACCCCTGGTACACTGAGTAACTTGGGGCATCACTAAACATTTCACCTTCCGTCACAAAAAATAATATAACTTCTTTATTTCTTCAAATATTTTAATAAATGACACATCATTAGAGAGGTGAGGCATTTCTCTTTTAAAAGATATAAATTTTATGTATATACAAAATTATTTATCAAGTCAAAAACACTAATAAATTTCATAATTACATTTTAGAACGGATCTTATGCAATAATTTAATAAATTTGCTGCTATGAAGTTTCAAAATCAATTATGTTCTTACCATCGTTTAAAAGAGAAATTATTTCCGAGTAAAATGATATGCAATATGTCAGAATTTATCAAAAAGCAAGTCCATAATTATCAATAAATAAAACGGGGTGTTTCAGAACATCGGAAGAAGTCTGGCGCGTGGAAAACATCCTCTGTTTAGGAGCCTTGATATTCCGATTCCAAGTCATCTTTCTCCGACAAAATTTCACAACATTGTTAATAACTCATGTATTTGTTGTCTAGAAACATTTATAATGTCTAATTCCCTGATTTTATTAAATCTTTCATCGCCAGAAAGATCGGACATTTCGTCGTTTACCGCCATTTTGCTTTTTTCTTCGTTTTCATTACTAATCATCTAATTTTCCTTATTTTATCGTAGTTTTCGCCATGTGGGCCGCCATTTTTGTTAACGGATGTTTACATCATTCTACCCATAATTCATAGCGAAAGATTTTGCGCAGAGAACACTTTCTATTTCTAAGAATAAACGTTTGACTTTCAGTTTAGTGTCTCAGACCGATACATCGGTCTACCGTGTTCCAAGACAAAATTTTATCAGACCGATGTATCGGTCTACAGTGTTGAAAGGGTTAAGGCCCTTGGGCCTTGTTATAACTAGCTCCATTCAACCAAAATTGACTTTAAAGAGCACTTCAAAGAGAGTGCTATGATCTTAGCAATGGGAGAAGATATAACTTCTTTGTAACTGGGATTAATTTCTATCAAATTTCTTTATTAGCTAGTTTTAGCATGATTGATGAACTGAACTTCTTTAAATTTAAATGTCCAATCATTAATTGATGCTCATCTTTTTCAGAGGACTTAATCTGAGGAAATATATAATAAATCCTTACCATGGACCTGCAACATATGATCTGATAGCTGTTAGTAACCACTATGGAGGTCTGGGTGGAGGACATTGTAAGTTGCGACTCAATCATGAAATGAGGGGAGATCTAACGTAATACCCCTTAAGTCAGTCATTCAATTTGAAAATTTTTATTTTCTGTTAACTTTTTTTTGGCTTTTCTTATATTAAGACACATGTATGCATCCAAAATTGCAACAACTTAGCATTAAGCAGAAATTATAATACCTTAGGAATGTTTTTTTCAAAAACATTTCTTACATTATCCAGAAGAAGTTCACATACATTACCCTAAGCATTGAATAGTGTGCATTTTTATCAACCCCTACCCCGAAGAATATGGCTAGGGCATAAAAAAGTAATGGTTGTTGATCATGTTCATATTCCATACTTTTGGTTTAGCTCAGTTTCAAAGAAACTACATGTATTATTATTCAAGATACATTTATCAAACCTCTTATACATTTATTTACCTTGAACTTACCTCACCATAAATAAATAGGCATATGTTATTTTTGATATCATTATCTACGATAACCAATTTTGGCATAAAGCACCTATTAAAGCACCACAAAAATTGTGAATTCATGGTCTCTGCCCCACCTGGGGCCTAAGACTTGGGACCAAAACCACTAAAATTAATTAAATCTTCAAACATCTTCTTCTTTACTCCTGACATCAAACAGTCAAACGATTGGCATAATAGTAATCAGCATTGAGTCCTCTATCAAAATTGTGAAATTCATGGCCCCATGGTCAGGGGTTCTAGTGCTAGGATGGGGCTAAATAGATTATATAGTGAAAATACATTATTTATTTGAATCTTCTTTTCTGCTCCTGGGCATTAAATGAACCAACTACATAGTTATGTTGAATAAGGCTGCCTCTTCCAAAACTGTGAATTTCATGGGGGGGGGGGGGGGCTCTTATAATAATATTGAAAATGCATTAATTCTTTGAGAATCTTCTTCTCTGCTCATTGGTATTAAACAAACCAAGTAACAGCTTTTTAAAAAGCTTGCCTGACTAAATCCATCAATTTATCTGCATGAAGAATGATAACCCTTTTGAGCAATACTTTGTGGGTTTAAAAAAATATCCTAACTTTATATTTTGAGAACCTTATGTAATGAAATCTTGATTTTACTGAAATTGTAGAAGAATCATCTCTACACTGCATACTAAAGAACTTTGTAGTTGAAAGGGGGGGGGGGGTCTGCAAGTGGAGTGATCTGCCCTTGGAAATAAATTGATTTCAAGCTACATTGTAACACCTATTATAAAATCTGTTATCAAATCACGCATTGTGAACATTGTAAAAGATGGATATAATTAAAAACACATTTTGTTGGAGTGTATTTTCTCCTCTGAAGTAAACAGTAGTAATGTGTGTTCATTATTTTTTTTCTTAAAAGGGGAGGGTGATGACACTATCATATAATACATGATATATTGAGAGTGAAATAAGTAAAATCAATAGTTAGGCTTTGTAGAAAGAAATATCCAAGATTATTCACTACTTTTTAGCTCACCTCAACGAAGTTGGGGAAGCTTATGTAATACCCTCGGCGTCGGCGTCCCGGGTTAAGGTTAATTTTTTTGGAGCAGTTTTCTTTTTAAGTACTTCTATGTCCTATATTGATTAGACATGCATGGAAGATGTTTCTAATGTGTTTCATTGTACCAGTCAAAGTTTCAGATGCTGCAATTTCAGCAAAGGAATGACCAGGTTAATGTTTTTGGAGCAGGTTAACATTTTTGGTGCAGTTTTTGGTGTAGGTCTCATTTTCGAGTAACTATATAAGCCCTATGTTGACCAAACTTGCATGGATGATACATCTAAGGATGTACACTACCAGACTTGCTTCGGATGCTGAATCTGACCTACATTTTCCGGTTGAGTGAACAGGTTAATGTTTTTGGTGCAGGTTTCATCTCCAAGTAACTATAAGCCCTATGTTGACCAAACTTGCATGGATGATACATCTAAAGATGTACACTACAAGACTTGCTTCGGATGCTGAATCTGAGCTACATTTTCAGGTTGAGTGAACAGGTAAATGTTTTTGGTGCAGGTCTTATCTCCAAGTAACTATAAGCCCTGCTTGGACCAAACTTGCATGGATGATACATCTAAAGATGTACACTACCAGACTTGCTTCGGATGCTGAATCTGACCTACATTTTCTAGTTGAGTGAACAGGTTAATGTTTTTGGTGCAGGTCTTATCTCCAAGTAACCATAAGCCCTATGTTGACCAAACTTGCATGTATGATACATCTAAGAATGCACATTACCAGGCTTGCTTCGGATGCTGAATCTGACCTATATTTTCAGGTTGAGTGAACAGGTTAATGTTTTTGGTGCAGGTTTCATCTCCAAGTAACTATAAGCCCTATGTTGACCAAACTTGCATGGATGATACATCTAAAGATGTACACTACAAGACTTGCTTCGGATGCTGAATCTGAGCTACATTTTCCGGTTGAGTGAACAAGTCAATGTTTTTGGTGCAGGTTTCATCTCCAAGTAACTATAAGCCCTATGTTGACCAAACTTGCATGGATGATACATCTAAGGATGCGTATTACCAGGCCTGCCTCAGATGCTGAATGTAACGTACATTTTCCAGTTGAGTGATTAGGTTAAAGTTTTTGGTACAGGTTTCATTTCCAAGATACTATGAGCCCTATAATGACCAAACTTGTATGGACGATACATCTAAGGTTGCATTCTACCAGGCTTGCTTCGGATGCTGAATCTGACCTACATTTTTTTGGATGAGTGAAGAGGTTAAATTTTCATGCAAGTTTCATTTCTAAGTAACTATTAGCCCTATGTTGTTCAAACTTGCATGGATGATACATCTTAGGATGCACACTAATGGATTTGCTCTAGATGCTGAATTCAACATACATCTTTCAGATAATGTACCAGGTAAAAGTTATGGGTGCAGTTCTATTACCAAGAAACTATATGGCTTATATAAACCAAACTTGCCCAAATGATGCATCAAGGGATGAAAACTCTCAAACTTGCTACAGATGCTGGATTTTAATCACATTTTTGTGACAAAGAACTAGTTTGAAGTTTTTATATAGGTCTATTCCAAAGTATCAGATCAAAATTGCATAAATTCTGCACTTTTTGTTGGGTTATTGTGTGACTTTGCCTTACTTAAAGACAACATTCGTTGAGGTGAGCTCTGTAATCTCTGATTACCTATGTTTTATTTATCGTGTGCATCTGAACCAAGACATATAATAGATCATGCATCTGGAGACGATGGCTTGAACTGCGTTGTTTATTATTATTGGACTCGTCCATTTATGGAATAAACCAACCGCGGGATCGGTAACCAAATTAGAAACATTATTTCTTTAGTGTTACATGTCCATATACCATGTATACTGATGTATACGATGTGTTGTTTTAAAGAATGGTTTAAAAGTTGTAGATAGAATTTCTGAAGCATTAGATGGAAGTTAAAAGGGTAAACCACGGAAGTTAGCACACCCATTCATACAATAGAACAATCCAAGGAAAAGGCGCGAAGATAGCTTACTAGTGACATTTGGCGCGAAAAGAGCGATTCACCCCTTTCGTAGAATATAAATGGACTGATCCAGTAGTATAGAAATGCAGAAAAAAGGATATACGGACATGTTGAAACGGCAAATCATATGGAATAATCTGTTCCATGCAAAAAGATTAAAGGAAGTAAACACTGCAGTATTTCGCATCAGTAATATCTTTCTTTTTTCTGAAAACTGTTTCTTTTAAAATGCAGGTAAATAATTCCAATGTAAATCAGCTTGTACAAAATCTAGCTCTTTAGATATGGTCGCATATTTTCGGATCTTGGAAATATCAATCCTTATACTGCCTGACGCCGTGACGTCAGGCAATAACTAAATGTACATACATGATGAGGATTGTTGCCTCTTCTAGAATTGTTAATTTCATCGTCCCATGGTCAGGGGTTTTGTTGTGGCTCTATTGATTACGTAGTGAACATGCACTAATTCTTTGAAAATCTTCTCTGTTCCTGTGTATTTAAAAGCAAACTAACTGCAATTACATACATAGTAATGATAAGGATGAGCACCTCTTCTACAATTGTGAATTTTATTGCTCCAGGGTGTGTTTGGGTGTTAGGGTGGGGTTCTATTGATTAATGATTGAAAATGCATTAAATCTTTGAAAATCCCTTTCTCTTCCTGAAAAATCCTCTCTTCCTAGGTATTAAACAATCTGTGTATCTACATACATAGTTATGATGAGCAAGGACCATTCTTTCAGAATTGTAAATTTCAGGCCACCCTGGTTAAGGTGTACCATAGATGGAGGGATGTCTCTAATTATATACTGAAAATGAATTAATGCTTTGAAATCTGCTCCTTGATATTAAATCAAACATTTATGATGAAAAAGGATGCCTTTTCTAACATTATGAAATGTGTGGATGTAGGGTCAGGGGTTCTCCCTTTGGGTATTAAGTAACCAAATTAAAGATGCTAAGTGTATAGTTTTGATGAGCAATGGTGCCTCTTTCAAAATTGTGAATGTCATGGCCTCTGGTTTAAAACATGAACCAAATTCAATTGTTAGAAAGTTGTTGCATAATGCTCAGGGACCTATTAGGCCCATGAGCCTCTTGTTGAATTTCAAGGCTTAATCTAAATACTATTTTACAGGCTTCAAACAGAAGTGATAGGTTGTACAATTTATCAGAGGAGCGATTCAAGGGCCCTGAGCCTCTTGTCTGGGTCTTTGCTAGTTTCAAAATAATGTATGACACCAATTTTAACCTGTTGTCAACTTTGTCAGTTGATGCATCTTGAATCCTCAGATTGTGACAACCAATAAATATGTCACCATGACCTTCTTTCTGTAGTCATTAAATCATATGTTTATTTACAAAAAACAACAAATATGCTTATATTCCACCAATTCCAAAGCGATTTACAACTGAAACATTGTATTTATACCCCATGCTACAAGTTGTGTGAGGTATAATGTTTTTGACCCGTCAGTCAGTCAGTCAGAATGT